TTGAAGATAGATGACACATCAAGATTGGGTCTTTTTAATAAATTAAAGAATATATTGGTCTCTCTTGATTTGAATATTGATGATGTGAGAGGACAAGGCTATGATAATAGTTCAAATATGAAGGATCCTCGCTAAGGTGTTCAGAAGCGCTTGCTTTAAATTAATCGAATACATGCCGTGTGCATGCCATAGTCTGAATCTTACTCTTTGTGATATGGAAAAATCTTGTAGGTAAACTATTATTTCTATTATATATTGTTTTCATATAATATGGCATGATTTAGGAAAAGTTTCAAACTTACTATTTGTTAAATCTTGTAGGCAAGCTATTTCTTTTTTTTGGTCTCATCCAATGTATATACACATTGTTTGCAAAATCTACCAAAAGGTGGAAGATTTTGGTGGACAATGTCCCAGGATTGACAGTTAAGTCATGGTCTATTACACGTTGGGAAAGCCGGATAAAAAGTGTTCAAACTATCAGATTCCAAACTCCTCAAATAAGATCATCGTTAATAGCGCTAGAGAAGGCTTCAACTGATGACCCAATGGCAGTTAGTGAATGCCAATCTTTGATGAGTGCACTGGAGAATTTTGAATTTTTAGTTGGTTTGGTTATTTGGCACGATATTTTATTCTCTATAAATAAGGTGAGTAAGAAGTTGCAATCTAAAATTATGAGTATAGATGATACTCTCAAACATATTAAAGGTGTCATATCATATTTTAAGAAGTATAGAGATGAAGGTTTCACTTCTAGTATGGATATAGCAAAAAACATTACATCTGAAATGGATATAGAGCTAAAATTTCATACAAAACGTCAAGGAAAGAGAAAGAAATATTTTGATGAACAAAATGATCAAGATGAGGAAATACAACGGTCTGCTGTGGACTCATTTAGAGTAGAGTACTTCAATGTTATGATTGATGCTGCAATTGCTTCATTGACTAGTAGATTTGAGCGGATGAAAAAATTTGATAATGTTTTTGGGTTCTTGTTCAACTCAAAAAATTTGAAATCTTTAGATGAAGCTGATCTTTGGCTGTTGTAACACCCCGGCTCAGGGCTTAATAGGATTAATAGGATACTCGTACAAACAAGTTGCAACTTCTTTTCTAGAAGCTCATCTCTTAAGAACTCCAAGGTTAAGCGTGCTTGGCCTGGAGCGATGGGTGACCGACCGGGAAGTTCTTCCTGGGTGCGCACGAGTGAGGACAAAGTGCGCAGAAAAGACAAGTGTTGGTCTATGAGGGCAGTCTATATCCTAGTTAAGCTGCCAGATGTAAGCGAGCCCAGCCTCGGAGAGGTGGGACGTTATGAATCGGTATCGAGCCGACTGCCGCGGTTTCACCGCGCAGTGCGCGTGTAGAAGTTGCTTGTGAGCATGGTGCGCATGGTCGCTGTGAATCCGGTGTGGTCACACAAAGATGGCACATGCTGCACCGCACTGGACACACGGACGTGGCTAAGAGGGGACGTTCCTGGCTTGGGATTGATCGACGAGGACGTCGATCTCTTAAGGGGGTGATGATGTAACACCCCGGCTCAGGGCTTAATAGGATACTCGTACAAACAAGTTGCAACTTCTTTTCTAGAAGCCCATCTCTTAAGAACTCCAAGGTTAAGCGTGCTTGGCCTGGAGCGATGGGTGACCGACCGGGAAGTTCTTCCCGGGTGCGCACGAGTGAGGACAAAGCGCGCAGAAAAGATAAGTATTGGTCTGTGAGGGCAGTCTATATCCTAGTTAAACTGCCAGATGTAAGCAGGCCCAGCCTTGGAGAGGTGGGACGTTACAGCTGCACTGCAAGAATTTTAGGATAACTCATCCGATGTTGAGATCAATGATTTTTTTTTCCGAATTAAAGGTGCTACAAGTGACTTTGCCAGATTCTTTGATGTCAGCGCTTGAGATTCTGGAGTTTGTTATAGCTACAGATTACTATCCAAATGTTTCAGCTGCCTATCGAATCCTCTTAACTATACCCGTGACTGTAGCTTCGGCGAAAAGAAGTTTCTCAAAATTGAAGTTGTTGAAGAACTATTTGAGATCAACTATGCCACAAAAAAGGTTAAATGGATTGGCTATGTGCACCATCGAGAGGGATATCTTGGACATTATTGATCTCAATACCGTCCTTGATGATTTTACATCAAGAAATGTCCGAAGAACTATCTTTTTATGAGAAGGAATGTATATTATGGAGTTCTATTCTTCCTTAAGGTAATCATATTAGTTTTAATCTATATTGTTCCTCAATAATTATCAAACATATTAAATTAAAAATATATCACTAGATTTATTTTTGCTTTGCATGAAAAATTAGTGCTTATATATATTATAAAATTTATATATAGTTTAGAGGGGCCCTCGCGACGAGTTCGCCAGAGGGCCCTCGAAAACTTAGGACCGGCATTGTTCCAACCACTACATAGTTCTTCGGTTGTTTTGAAGTTTACCGCTCAGTTTCTTTATTAACTCTGTCCTTTCTCCAAATTCATAATTATTTTTGTCAGCACATGTCAGATATGCAATGCAAAGAAAATATAGCAAAAGAAAGAAAAATATAACAGAAGTATCAAGAAAAGCATGAAGAACTTTAGAATAGAACAAACTATTCATCTAAGAAGAAAGACTATTGCTAAGAGAGGACTTGAATCTATGTCGGTGTAGCTTTGTAGCATGTACAAAACAAAATTTCCAGGTACTACTTATTTTCCATTAAATACAGAGCTCTTGAGAACAAACGTTAACTAGCAGCAGCTAACAATACACAATATTCACAAACACCCTACACTTGTGCACTGTTCATAATCTTGTTGCTGAGATATGGTGAGAATCCATCTAATGATTTGTTCATGAGCCTGTTTTATACTTCTTAAGTTGATTTAATGCCAATTTCTTGGTTTCTTATCTCTTACACTGCACGTGCATGCGATAGATACACACCATGTACTCAATGGTTTCTCTGTGGAATGATCTGCTGACTAATAAACAAACTAAGTAACAAACAAAAAAACATGCATGTCAGCAGCTAATTATAGTTAGTTCCATTGATATTTATTTTGATCAAGTTATGTAGTAGACCCAAGATACTTTATGATATTTAATTGATTGTAATGTGACTCAAGTAATCTTAGTTCAAAATCCATGTCCACTTCCTGAAAGTGAACATTTCTCGACGCACAAGATGCCTTCTCTTGGTGTTCATCATGCTGCTCTTCTACGAATTCAGATGACAAACTTTTTTTCCTTTGTTCAATTTTTATCACTCAAAGTCAACTTGTGATTACAGATGCCTCCCATTTCAAATATATCATGTTTGGGACAAGCTCGGTAGTTGATGCCTTTAGTGAAGGTTTGAAGCACTGCTCCTAGAAATCCAAGGTCATTGTGTAATGCAGTAAATCCACGCTAATTATTTGACAGAATTATTGCTTGCTTTATTAATCTTTTATGCTTATGTGTCATGTAGGACAATAATTCATCGAAACAACAAGTAGGTGCTAAAGAATATTACACTAATGATTTCCAATAGCCACTTTGAATATACTCAGATCAATATAAGCTTCCTCTAATACCATTTTCTTATACCTTGTTTGCTAAGTTTCCAAAATGTAAATCATGTTGGCATTTGCTAAATTCTAGAAGTTGCACGGGTAATTCATTGCTGCAACTTATCATTTATATTTTATTATGCACAAATAGACTGAGAAACAAGAACAAAGCTCATCATATTTTATGAATTATGACTGTGCACTCTATAAGAAAGCTGTAGGCTCTCAGTTCAGCTGGACACTTATAATCTGTTATAGATTCATTTTCTTTTCAGTGGACCACATGTGCCATTATAAAATATATATTCAAGAGTTGGGTAAGTTCTATGTTTTTTTTTCCACTTGTGGCTTGGCAATTGGCGTCAGTTCCTAGATATGTACTGATTTGCATCAAGAGTTTTATAGATGCAAGTACTCAATTATAGATAGGAAGTTGCTGGCTCTCAATTCAGCTGAACACTAAATCTATTTAGTTTGTGTTGTCACCTCAGCCGTGCCATCAATTTATTCTTCACTGTAAGTCGTGACAATAATTCTTAAAAACTTCACCAAATACTCAATTTCATATCAACTACATTTGCCCAACTAAAGCTCATGGATTCACGTCTTCATCAATCTTGTATTGCTCCTTCATTTTTGTGAAAGACTATTATCGCTGATTTATCTTTGTCATGGAATGGAATATATTCCTACCACATTAGACGAGAAGATGTCTAACACCTAGAGCTTCCTATTGAGCTTCAGTACTCTATTGTTTAATCATAGGCCAATAAAATCACATGGGTTATCAAAGATGGAGCGCCAAAGCCGCGTCCAGGTTTTCTAGTATACTTCCAAAAGCTGCACTTTGTATGGAAACAGAGAAGCTTCCTAAAAGTAATTCTTTGAGGTTTTCTAGAAATCATTTAGGTGTTATTTGGTTCCCAAATACAACAACAACAACAAAAACAACAAAGCCTTTAAGTCCCAAACAAGTTGGGGTAGGCTAGAGTTGAAACCCATCAGAAGCAATCAATAATTAAAAAAATTAAAAGTATTTTAATAATGAAATGGGAAACACTTTCTAGATATTAGTTTTAATTTACAGATCTAAAAAGACTCTTGCAGAAAATGCTTTTTTAATTTAAAAGGTATATAGCTCCCCAAACAGGACGAAATTAGACCAATGCAGAGTAGTTGTTGGTCATGTCTCGTACTCCCTCCGTCCCTTAAAAAAGAAATCGCTATAGGAATCGTGTTGGTCAAACTTTCTCAACTTTGACTAAGTTTTTAGAAAAATACGTGCAACATTTATATCTTCAAATAAGTTTATTATGAAAGTATATTCAACAATCTACCTAATGGTACTAAACATGTACCATAAAATATTAATATTTTATTAAATATATTCGGTTAAAGTTAAAAGTTGTTGACTTTTTGAAAGCGAGAATGACTCTTTATGATGTTCTTGTTCTCCCTCAGAACCAGCAACATTGAGATCAATGACATGCAAACCAAGGCGTTCATTGTGATCAAGATGTACGGGCTGACCTTGGAGATGGGCTTCATCTTCGTAAAGTTGATCTTCCTGGAGATGAGCGATTTCATCTTCTTGCTCATACACAGGGTTTTCATTGAGATCAGGTAAGAGGTGTCCATGTTGATCTTGGAGATGGGCTTCATCTTCATAAAGATTGATCTTGCTGGAGACTCGTGATTTCATCTTCTTACTCATACGGAGGCTGTTCATTGAGATCAAGTAGGACCTCTCCATGAGGATCTGAAAGAGTGTTTAGATCTATGGGCATGGCTGATGATGGAAATGGCTTACAGGCTGATGGAGTAGATGGTCTCGTGTGTCCTGCAGTTCTACAAGGGAAGGAGGGGTGTGGCACAGACGGGAAATCCCCTGGCGCGGTGGTTCAAATTTTGCATTCCCCACAGTTGATTCTGAGCCGCAAACTGTGGGCAAGCTTTCTGTAATGACACGTGTAATGGACGTGTCTCTAGAGTGTTCTCCGAAACTTTACGAATGTTACACGTGCAATACCTCTCCTCTGGTACTGGCTGCAATTGCTACTGCCATATTCTTGTTGTTTGTAATGATTACAAACATGTCAAATTAGTTTATAGAGGTATTCCGGTAATTCTCTATGTTGCATTGGTATATATCTCTAGTCCTCGGATTGTATTTTTTTTTTTTTTTTAATGGAGAGAGTAGTAAGTAGCAATGGTCCACAGTAGTCCATAGTCGTTGTAACGTTTGGTGAGATTGCAGAACTCGTCCGCAGACCAACAGAAGACCTGCAAGAGCAATAGCCAATGCTGTAGCTGTCACCGTGAAGTCGTTGCCCACTGTCCTATCGAAGTTTCTGCTCCCTCCGTAAATTTTTTTTTGCAATTGTAGGACCAGGTGCCCATGCCAATGCAGGTAGCAAATTACCATAATGCCCCTGTGTACAGAGTAAAAGCAGGTTTGCAGTACACACGTTGCCAAATGCCAACAACAGAACCATCTGGAAGATGAAACTAGTGGCTGGGAAGGTGCCACGTTCTTGCGTTTGGGTTGCATGCCTTGCAACTGAGCGGGGCCTACGTGCTGCCAACCAAACTTTTGTTCTGGTACTCGTGGAAGAGTGCAAATTTTATGGGAAAAAATTTGAAAACCAAGATCGCGGTCTTTATGGGAGGGAGGGTAATAACCAACCATATTGCTGAGCCCGTGTTTAGTTTGTTGAAAGTAAAAAATTTGGCTACTGTAACATTTTTGTTTTTATTTGGCAATTAATGTTCAATTATGGACTAATTAGATTCAAAACGTTCGTCTCGTAATTTTCAACCAAACTGTGTAATTAGTTTTTTTTTCGTCTACATTTAATGCTCTATATATGTATCGCAAGATTCGATGTAATAACTACTGTAGCACTTTTTGAAAAAAGTTTTCACGAACTAAAGAAGGGCTGCTGAATCCTGGTCACTACGCCTGACAATCTGTCACCGGATAGCAGGATCGTTGATCGAGCCACCCCGTGCCCTGCAAGTCTGCAACAGTGCATCGAACAAAACATCTCGCCGTCTCGAGTGAGCGCCTGAGCGGCTGACGTAGTGACGTGCGCGACTTGGCGAGGGCGAGAGGCGCACGCCCTCCGGCTCCGGGCCCGGTCCTCCGCCGTTCGAGTCCAGGCCGCACCGCGCCGCGCCCACGTGAGCGGCATAACGGGAACGCGCGCAGAGCCTCCCTCCTCTCCTCTCCTCTCCTCTCCGTCCCGTCGCCACGTAACGCCTCACCCCTCGCTGTAAACGCCGTGCTCGTGCACACCCTTCTCTTCTCCCCCGCGACGGCCTCCAGAGTCCAGACCCAGACTGCGCTGCTCCTGAGCCCTGCCGTCTCCTCCTTCCCAGCCGAGGCCAGCCCCGCCGCGCCGCCACTTATTTGATTCGATTCGACCCGGGGGGTGTTTTATCTCGCGCGTCCAACCGGAAGGGGGCGAAGGGCTCCGAGGATCTCGCACGCGATCCCGGCTTCCCTGAACCCAGAATCGTCCGAGGCGTCTCAGGTACCGCTGCCGGCTGCTCCTCCCCTTTCCTTTCTGATAGACGCGCATAGTTCGCTCCACAAATTCACCCAGTTTTTTTGTTTGTTTGCCTTGGTTTCCGTGCCCGTAGAGACGATGGAAATGTACTTGGTTGAGGACCTCGATTTGCTGGACGATGACGACGAGTTCGGCGGGTTTGGAGTCACCGTCGGCAGCGATACCCCCAGGCCGGTAAGGATTTCCGACCGCTAGGTGCCCAGCTCCAGTAGTGTTTCTCACAAGCAAAAATTACCTCGTCTTGGGGTCTTGCGATGGGTGAACGCGAGCAGATCACATGGAGTATGTTGGAGGAGGATATTAGTATTATTAGACGTAAAATGACACTGATAGTGTAGTTTCTGGCCCAGCTGTCAGTGGCAGAATTGCTCGCTGAAGAGAAGTCTCAGGTGTATACTGTAGTACTAGTATAGAGACATCACTCCAAGTAAGCAATTAGTTCCAACTTTTGGAAGGATGTTCAAAGCGCAATTAGCTCTTGCCACTTGCCGATTGTTAATGGTTAGTGGTTGGTGCTACAGGTAAGCTAATGGACATAAATCACAACGCTTATAACCCCACCAAATTGCCACTTCAGGTGGAAAAAAGTGTCAACGGCAGCAATGCAATCCCATTCAGAAAACTGTAATGCGCCACTTCCTTGAAAATTACGCCCTCTCGGACTGTTACGATGTTTGATGGACCTTTGTTTGTGTACTATTTTCTGTCTTTGTCATAAAGCCATAATATAAGATCACATTTTCATTCTTGTGTTGTAGGATAAGCAAACGTATGATACTTCTGCTGGGGAGTACAGAAATGGGAAAGACATGCAAGGGATACCCTGGGAGAGTCTGAACTATGGTAGAGACGACTACCGTAGGATGAGGTTGAAGGAGTACAAGAACTATGAGAGCCTCTCCAGATCACATGAGTTGTTGGATTTGGTGAGATTACAATGTCGAATGTGTACAGTTACTTACTCTACTACCAGTTATTGGTGAAAATATGCATACCGGATTCTGGCAATAGGTTATCAATATGACAGATACTTTAGCCCTACATGTGTATGTGTTTATGATAATCTCTTCCAGTAATTTGTTGTGCTATACAACACTTTATGGACTGCTTGAGCTACTAGATTACCAGACCATATGGAGGTGGAGCATCATTATTATGCAACCTTTTCACTTGCACACCTCAGTTCAAACTATCGAGTAATGTGTTGAAAGGGATACAGTCTGTTAGTTCTGGTGTCTTTTTTTATGTAGGTAGTTGTGGTATCTTATTATCTTATCTCATATATTCAATTGTCCAGATCATGCTGTCACTCTCGAAACTTTGCTTGAAGTAGAACAAGAATGGAGACTAGAAATTTAAGAACTTGTATTTGATTCATTTTTCATGGTGAAAATGAATGCACTCTCTGTCACACAGGTGTAACCTGTTTGCTTTTTTTCGCTTCTTTTGTAGGAGTGCAAACAAGTGGACAGAGGAAGCACATTCTATGATTTCTGCTTCAACACAAGACTTGTCAAGTCAACAATAGTTCACTTTCAGGTATATATTCTTTCCAATTAAATTGGTTCCCAGCATTTGTAGTAGAATCATGGTAACGCCAAGTGGCCCTGCGGGCTGTTCTGTCCACTCATACGTTTTCAAATTTACGATTGACCAATTGTTACTCGTGATGCCAGCAGAATGCTTAACAATTTTATTAAAAATATGTGCATCTGCATCAAACTTCGAGACGAATGTGTTATTCATTCAAGTCCTGCTGGTCACAAGTTGTTGTTTTACCCTTACCTATTTTTCATAATGCAGTGCATTTTGGTGTACCAAGTACTACACTGCAACTGCAACAAAATGTGTGTGTGTGTGTGTGTGTGGTGGTGGTGGTGGTGGTGGTGGTTGGGGGACAGAGTAAGAAGGATAAACACAAGCATACAAAAACAATGACCGAATGCCTGAAATGTCCATGCTAAAAGTTGGTGCATTCATACCCTTACTCTGTTTTGTAGATACTACAAGATTTTTAAAGCTTTGACTGGTTTCCAATTCAGTAGGTGAAGTTTCTATTTTTTATTATGCTTTTCCTTCAGTGTAACTGTAATATCATAACGATGACTGCAGGTTGTCTGATAAGTTTAGTTAGATATGCTAGCTGGAGCTGTAGTATATTTCTACAATTAACACTCCTGTGATATAGGACAGCATGGCAACACTATCCTTCCACCAGGTTCCATAAGCAGATGGACGAGCATCCGCAATGGTCGGCGCTGTTATTATAACGTCTATGGAGTATGGTATGGTAGGTTGTTTATGTTAAGCGAGCCTTAGCTGGATAACTCATGCTCGCATTTTCCTTTGGATGGTTGGACCTTTGACAGCGACTAACAAAATTTTATGCAGGATGTCCCATTTGTCATCAACGATTGACAGATTAAAGTGTTTAGTATTCTGTTGTAGCGTTAGCTGTGTGAAATGCTTGTGCATATTTTGTATTCATAATTTCATATTGTGCATACTTCTGAGTTCTGAGTTCTGACAGTTGTTTGTGCAATTTAATAACATGTTTGGTTGCTTATTACGAATTCTGATTTTTTCCCCTGACGGTGTCTATTCATTTTCTTCTAAACGACTATATATTGCATGCCTTTAATACTTCCATATGGGTAAAATAATGTGTTCATATAAACTGTTGTTTTGGATATGATTAATGGAAGGGGAAGTTACAAGTGCTTCAAATATTGTTGGTAATTATACTGTAACAGCAGCACCATTTTTCTTTCTGATGTACCTAGCCATTGTCAAATGATGCTACTGCTAACCATATAACTGAACATCTAGATTAGAGCTGATCAAATGAGAATAATTTGCAGGAGGTTTAGGTGAGTGTATGGGTGGTTATGTAGTGGCCCTTTGGCTTGCGTGAATTTTGAGCTTCCATAAAAGCAGACTCCCTCAGGCAGGTGGAAAGGCAGAACATTGACTGCAATGTTCTGATTTGTTGCTTGTTCTTTGCCATGGAGAATACCTAACTGTGCTGTTTGTTTTCTTTTCATTATTGTCTTGTTATTCATCATTCTCTTTCAGTGTGCCCTTGTCAAGCGATTAATTTCACAAATCTTGTTAAACCCCTAGTTTGACAATAGGTGGCCTGTTTTTATTAGAGTACTACAGGTAGCCTATCGATTACTACAAAGAACTATTTGTCTCCATTTTTGTCCCTAGGAAAAAACCTACCCATCGGCATGTCTTTTGCTAAAGCATCACTTATCACTTATCAGATACAGATACACTTAGTTTTCTGCATTCCAAGGTGCTAACCGTATGCTGCATATCTGCAGCTGAGGGACCTCATTTGGGCCACATCCAAGCATGATGTCTACACGACGCAGAACTATTCAGTCATGCACTGGTCTTCTCTTCTTCAAAGAGGGGAAGAAGTGCTCAATGTGGCAAATCGTGTACTTCCAAAGAAGGTCTGTATGTATTTCATATGATCTATTGTGTTATCTTTTGCAAATCCAACTTTTGATCTAGTCCTCATTTCACAGACGGTCCGTGGGGCTCAGCCACTGTTCAGAATGCAGATGAGCTCAATGGCCTTAAAAGATAATCTTTTGGTAGCTGGTGGTTTCCGGGGCGAACTGATTTGCAAGGTATCACGACTTCCGAGGTGTGCACATCTTTCTGTCATTGTTTGTATGTTAGCTCATGGATTTGTATTTGAACAGTACGTCGATCAACCTGGAGTGGCTTTCTGTACAAATCTTGCCGAGGATAAGGATAGCATCACAAATGCTGTAGATGTGTACGAGTCTCCTAAGTAAGTACAGTTGCTTGTATTCTGTGTTTTGTATTTAATTTTGAATTTGTAAGTACTACATAATTAACTATCTTTTTCATTGTGTGATGCAGTGGGTCTACACGAGTGATGGCTGCCAACAATGACTGTGCTGTCAGAGTTTTTGATACCGAAAGGTTCAAGCTACTTAGCCACTTGAGATTCCCATGGTCGGTCAATGTGAGTTGATATTCATGTCATCCTCAGGCAGTTCATAACTCAAATCTTGTTCCATTATGATGGTTGCAGTTCTGGTTCCATTGCAGGATACATCAGCGAGTCCTGATGGCAAACTTATTGCTGTTCTTGGCGATAGCTCTGAGTGTTTGGTAGCTGATGCTCAGTCCGGCAAGGTGCGTGTCTCGTGATATGATGATAGTTTTAGAATTCTGATTAAAATGCCTGGGTACATGAGAATCAGACAATCTTTTTGTCTCACGCTGTTGCTACGTTTGCAGGAAATCGCAAACCTCAGGGGACACCTAGACTACTCGTTCTCATCGGCCTGGCACCCTGACGGCCGCGTCCTCGCCACCGGGAACCAGGACACCACCTGCCGGCTGTGGGACGTGCGCAACCTCTCTCGGTCTTTCGCGGTGCTGAAGGGGAGAATCGGCGCGGTGAGGGGCCTCAAGTTCTCGTCGGACGGCCGGTTCCTGGCGATGTCGGAGGCGGCGGACTTCGTCCACGTGTACGACTCGCAGGCCGATTACTCGAGGGAGCAGGAGATCGACATCTTTGGAGAGATCGCAGGCATGTCATTCAGCCCGGACACGGAGGCCCTGTTTGTAGGGGTCGCTGACCGGACGTATGGCAGCCTGATCGAGTTCAGCAGGAGGCATCGGTACGACTACTTCGACTCCTGTCTATGAAGCTGCAGGGCGCGTCTGTGGTGTCAGCGTGTACATAGTGGCGTGTCGCGTGTTTGTACATGAACATACGGGTGTTTGCTACTGGGAGCTGGCGCGAAATGTGCCTGAGATGGTCTGTATGCTCGCTACGTTTGCCAAAGGCAGATTATAATAATTATGATCGCTATTTTGGACGCCTAATGGTGAACGCTATGCAAAATGTTTTCCTGTCCCATCACTTTGGTTGTCGTGGTGTGGTAGAGAATTAGAACATGACTGCCAAAAGACCATCGATCCTGCGGAAGCCGAGGCAGGAAAGTGGTCTCAAGATGACGAGCACACGCATGGCCAGGCAGCGCGACAATGGGATGGGGCGGACGCTGTGGCACCTGGTCGATACGGCGCCTGGGCGCCTGGGCGCGCGAGCGCGCTCACAGGCGTGCATCCACCACCACCAGTGGGAGCGTCAAGCGTGGGACTGCAGCGTTGAGAGGTTGAGGACGATGGCACGGTCGCTGCTGTCTGGTGGGCCGAAGCGTGGGGGATTATGTGTCTGCCTGGGAAACCGTCGGGCCGCGCTGCATAATTCCACCCTCGGCAAGTTCGTTGGGCCGAACTGTGCGCGCGATACAACTTGTTCTGACGGGCCTCAGTACTGGACGTTTTGGGCTCCTCCTCACCGGCGCCGTGTCAGCTTGCAGTGTTCATCCTTGCTCAATACTGAATACTTTTTTCTTCTTTTTACCATTCAGGAGATCTGAGGCTCCACTTCGATAGTCCCATTGAAAGCAGAAAGCTCAAGTTCCCCAAACCATGCACCGCCAAGTTGTGGCAGAAACAGATAAACAAAAAGTGTTCGTTCCGTCACCCAAGTTGAGCAGGTAGTTTTTAGAAAAAGAAATGGATTTTTACTTCAGCCTCTGCATTATTGAGTTTTACACGTAACTAATTCATTACTATAGCTTCAACCTCTGGTTGTTAGATAAGAAACACTCTCTAAAATCGAAACCAAATTAAGGGGCGACTATTTAAGCGTAAGTCTCTTCAAAAGATCTCCGTGGCTACGGTCTCCAAAGTTCGACAAGCCCACTTCAAAATTGACCTATCATGTTCCAAAAGTATGTCTAGCCGTGTAGCTAGTAGATTGCCCTGAAAATAATTTGCAAATAAGAATGTGATAGTTTTCTTTGGCAACTAATAAAGCGCAAATCCTTTTGATCTCATATATAGCCTTTGGCGCTTTATTCCCAGTAGTCTCCAACCTCAAACAACTTCACACGCCAAATTAAAAGCTGCAAATTGGATATTCTGTTGTTACTCTCTTCTCCTGCAACGAATAGGTGCCGTTTGCCACTTCTGAACTAGCAACAGGAAACACTAGCTAGAGCAGCACTAAGTGAAACGGACCAAAGGAGCAAATAAAGGGTCCAATGCAAGCACGCAGGCATCTCACTCGACGAAAGGCGTGGCGCCTTTCTCGGGATCATCGGCGGGCGCTTGCTCACCGGTAGTTTCCCGTCACCTGATTGGCCGGCGGCCGGCCAGCCGTCCGAAGAGCAGGGAGAAAAGCAGCGCCAGTGCTAGCCGCCTGCCTGCCGGCCGCCCGGCAGCGGCTATGGCTATACCGAGAATAGTCCAACCGCCAATGGTGTGGCGGGCTGGCGGCTATGGCCCTGTTCGTCTTCGTTTTGGTTTCCCATGCAGGTCGCCGGTGCTTTACAACACATCCAACACGTGCGAATTGCGCCATTGGCCGGGTGACACGGTCCGGAGGAGGGCCGGCGCAGACAGCTGCTGCAAGAAAAAGAGGTAGGATCCATGGATCGCAGAGACTCGCAGTTGGATGGATCGTCGTTTCAGATCAAGTCATTCACGCGCATCGCATCATGCGTACTCATAAGCTGCTCCGCTCGCTCGCTAGTTCATGCTCGTACTCACACACATACACACGTACAGCTTTATTTTTGCGAAGAGCGAGCACGCACGTCGTCGTCAGATCAGGGCATCAGGCTGGTCAAAGAATCGCCGAATGAACGAAGCTATAGGTAGCCACCAGTTAGGTTTTCTGGCAGTACGTACGCGCTGCACTATACTAATGTTCGAGCGTGCAACTTTTGAACTCGGCGTGCCTGTCGCTGCGTGAGGTTTACAAGATTCCAAGCCCAAGGGTTTAAGCAAACTCCAGCGTGCTGTATGCACGCTTGATTCTAGCTAGCACTACTGCATTGCATGCTGGTCATCACTAGCAGGGCAGCGCTACTACACAGGCGCGATCACAGCAGCGGCATTGTTTTTTTTAGGAATAAAGTGCTCGATCTCTGCCGGCCTAGCTAAACACGTTGTTAACAATTCGTCTTCCCGGGCTTCGAGGCTCGCGCAGACCAGGAGTTGCAAGCGTGCGTGCGTGCAACGATTCAAAAGGGCCTAACAACGAGAGCGATGATACGATTTGGCTCGCTCGCTTTTTGTAGATGCTAACTTGAGATGGTTCCAGCGAGTTTAGGTGAGATATGGTTGTGGTTGCTAGCTAGTCAAACATGAAGGTGTGTGCATGTGATCAAGATCGAGAACCTAATGTGTAGTACTAGTACTAGCTAGTAGCTAGACAGGATTCCAACTCTTTTGACAAGTAGTTCGGGTTCATTTTGGTTGAGTGAACGAGAGGATAAAGAGATCGATGCTGCTGAAAAGAAAATCATGGTGGCATGACCTCGGGGTTCGGGGAGGACGGAGAGATGCCATACATGCATCTAATAACCGTGTGTGAAGATTTTTCCGAGGAGAAATCTAGCTGTCGTCGGTGCTTGCTATGGTGAGTTATTACAGACAGGTGCCAGCCAGCACCACAGGAAACAGTGGCTTTGCTGTATGCCATAGACGCTCGGCAAAAGCTTTACCGAGTGTAACACTCGTTAAACAGCACACGACATCTACAGTGCCGGCAAACGTCTCTTTGTCGAGTGTTTTCTATCGGGCACTCGGCAAATACTTTGCCGAGAGCTGAAACCGACGCTCGGCGAAAAAAAGTAACGCGACGGCGCGGAGACGGTCACGACGTGTTTGCCGAGTGTCCCGGACCTGACACTCGGCAAACCTGTCTTCTTTGTCGAGTGTCAAATCCCGGGCACTCGGCAAACCTGCCTTCTTTGCACAAATGTTGGCTTCTTTGCCGAGTGTCACAGCGCAAATACAAATTTACTCGTCGATGGTCCGAAAACATCGACAATTGGCGCGCTCTCGATGTCCACATCAGGCCTCGGACGGCTAATTACGGCGTCAGCTGGGTCCCGGGCGCGCACGTGCGCTTCGGGAACCTGGACTTCATCGTTACGATGGAGGGAGAGTTGGCGCTAGGTTCCCGCCGCCGTCCAGCCTCTCCACTCCGCCGGTCTCGACGCGATCGCCGAGGCATGAGGAGCTGCAGCTGCACGCACCGGAGGCCCGCGCCCCAGAGGAGTGACCAGCTCCTCGGCTTTAATTACGGGAGGCTAGAGCGCCAGCTCGGCGCCTTCCTGGGACCCCGACCGTCCCGGGAGGACCTGCGCCGCCTCACCTTCTCGTTCGCTAACGTCATGACGCAGTTTGCCGGAGGAAAGCCGCTCTCTCCGGAATACCTCATCCAGAGTGCCCCGACAGCGCTCCCGTTTGGTCTGCGCAATGCCGCAGAGACCGTTGGCCACCTTGTGGCGCAGCGCACGCCCCCATCCCTACGAACGACGAGTTTATGGGGATGACCGAGTACATCGCGAAATCTTTCCACGACCTTCTCGCGGGAGAATCGGAGTCGCCCTCCGACTCTGACTCCAGCAGGGGGAGCCATCACCCCTCGTGAGAATGTTTCATGGAAGGTACCCCCGAGGGATACATCGAAAGCATCCACGAGGGATGGGCTACCCAACAGACTGTAGGAGACCGTGACATCTAAGGGGGGTGAATTAGGCAATTTAAAATTCTAACTCTAAATTATGGACCTCTTTTTCTAACCCTAGCAAAACATATGCAATAGATAAATTATCTAAATGTGCAACTACGGTTTTGCTAGTGTGTTGCTATCTCTACCGTAAAAGGAGTAATACAATCAATGTAAATGCGGAAGCTAAAGAGTAAGGTAGAGATATACAAACTCCCGTTGACAACTCCGGTATTTTTATCGAGGTATCGAGAAGCGCGCAAGCTTCCCCTAGTCCTCGTTGGAGCCCCTCGCAAGGAATCCCTCGCAAGGGCCAAGCTCCCGGTCGGGTAACTCCGTGGATAGCCTCGGGCCTTCCCGACGCGCAAGTGGGTCTCCGACGTGCCTTCCGGCAAGCCTCTCCCGGATGCTCCCCGCCGCCTTCACTATCAAGCTTCCGGCCAAAACGCCGCGGTTGGTGTGATCTCGCAAGACTACAAGCCCCTCCGATGTACAACAATGGTGCGCGCAAGCACCGAGTGGTAAGAGGTATGCAAACCTCACTAAACACTAGGCCTAAACCTAGAGCAAGCGCATAAGCGGTGGTCTAATCAACCTAACCATTTTACAAAGCACCTACGCTAATCACCTAATGAATCACTAAGCACTATGCAAGTAGATATCACTAAAATGGTGTATCAACACCCTTGATATGTTTTCTCAGCTCCACACGCTTCAAATGGCTGGTTGGAGGGTCTATTTATAAGCCCCACTGAGAAAATAGCCGTTGGGGACGAAATCCGCTTTTCTGTTACTGACCGGACGCTGATCACGTCCTGACCGGACGCGTCCGGTCGTCCCGACCGTTAAAGCCGCGATCAACTGATCGGACGCTGCCAGCGTCCGGTCACATGCCACCGGACGTGTCCGGTCGCAATTTCACCGCTCTGGAACCTTTCTGTACTCGATCGGACGCTGCAGTTCTGCGTTCGGTCGATTTGCCATCAGTGTCCGATCCAGCGTCCGGTCACTGCTGCTGACGCCTGCTGTAGTCGAGTCACTGATCGGAGCGTCCGGTCAATCGCCTTCCAGCGTTCGGTCACCTCTATGAGCTCGTATCTTCACGATCTTG